TGACAACACAGATCAGATATAAATGTTTGTCCGTGCGCCACGGGTCGATGTCGCCCGCATGCTCCGGTGCCGCTGCTCTGTCCGGCGCCGCTGTAGTCATCCCGAGCATAACGCCACTCGACCTGCTCCGTCCGTACTAGCGTCAGAGAAAACTACCTGTATGTTTACGATTACCTAGACAGTCTTTAGGGACAGCTCCCCTGCGGGTGACAGGCTCAGAAAATCAGTTTGGTAGCTGTCTTGTGTGTCTCATATATGTTATTGTTGGTTTTTTTCTTCGAATTGCTGTGCGGCAGAGGAACAATTAATTGTTCGGAGCGTCTCCACCGCTTGATCACCCCACCTACACCCACCACCTACCACTTGCCATACACCGCCACAAAAAAAGTAATCTCCTGTATCAAAGTGGCTCGCGCGCCTAGATCCTCATCCGCAACCCAACCCTACGTACGATGCAGCCACCAGCTACGGGCATCTCCGTGCCTACCACCACTACTGTGATCCATGCGCAGAATGGGTGCTGCACCGTACCCCCAAATGTCAGCGGACACGTGCGCGGGGTGAGTCAAAGTGAAAGGTTATGTGGTTTGGTAGCGGTTTGTGTCGCACCACGATGATGGTTGTGCGTTCGAAATATTGACCGAACGAAGTGTTATGCTTTGCAGAGGCAGAAAGTTGGGGTACGGCCTGTTACTGCTCTTCTTTCAATTCCATCGTCAGTCGGTCGTGCTTAGACTGTATCTTGTTTTGGTCGCGATAGAGGTGCATGACGAGGTGCGCGCGGGCTAGAGAGGACAGAAACCTACAGAGAGGTTGGGCAGATGGCTCCGCGGCCCTCTGCATCAATGCGTTCGACAAAGCTCGCAGCTTGCGATCCCCTTCATCAACTGACACCAGAATTCTGTACAACAGCAGTAGCCTCACGTATGAATAGCCGCAAATCCTCGATATGCCAAGCTGTGTAAACTTTGCTGCTGCTGCAGGTCACGTCGGGTCGCTTTTGTTGAGTACGCCATCGTTTGTCCATCCTGACATGATGAATATCAAATGTTGATGCATCGCTCGGCGCCAGCTAGCTTGGCGCCAGCATTTTTTTTCCCCTCTCTTTCGGGATATTTTTCGAGCATGTTATTTCTCCGATGTATTTCCATTTTGCTCTTCGTTTTACCGTGCAACGACTTTATTAACAAGCAGACTGGCCGTTCGTGCACCGACCGTTCAATTGATCTCAGTGCAACCTCAGACAAGCATCGCAGGCACGCCCGTTCTACACCTCAAACGCTCGCCGTACCGTGTAGTCTACTGCTGATGCATAGACTAGTACCGCCGATCAAACCGACAATCGAATGATTCCGAGATGCCTATGGTCACTCGTATATTCCGACGTGTTGGATAAACCGGGTAGGCCGAAGCTTGTAGGTTTGTGGAGAAAGGCAGCTCGGCCAGTGAGGACCGAGATGGGAAAGTCTTGTATTAGAGGGAAGAGGGAAGGGCAGAGACCACTCCAGGCCGAGCAGCCGAAGAGTAGGGCGTCACCACACCTATCCGTCACGCATTTCAGATCACTCATCGAATCTCCGAAGAAACCAAGCAGAAACTCCCTGTTCCTCCGCGATCTACCAACTGCAATCTCCGTAGATCCATGTCCCATACTCAACCACATTACTATGCTACGAGTATATCTAACAGCCCCCCTGCTCGTATGCATCGTAATGATACGGCAAGGCAACATAAATCCACTTACGAACCAAAACGTCGTTCCTATTCGTCCGTGACAAACAATGAACCAAAAACTCGATTATGCAAATATTCCTGAACCAAAAACGTTTCTTAGGCTGTCTCTTATAAGGCTGTTTCTTACAGAACCGGATTCTTGATCTGAAAAATCGATTTTTT